ACCTCTGTTGACGATTGACGAAGTGGAAAAAGTCCATCGTCAAAAGATAGCCAGTTTTATCGGTCATGTATTCCAACTGACTAATGCGGCTTTGATTGACAATCTCATTCAACAAGAAAAGCTGCATCACTGCCATGGGCTGAAAACTCTTTATTTCAATTTTAGCTGACTATTACAAAACCGTTTTCTTCGTTTTTATCTCGAGGAAATGAAAAACTATTTAAGTCTTGTCATTTTTACGTACTGTTAGTCAGTCAATTATCCTAGTTGACAAGGCCAAAGTTGAAAACACATTAGTTCATCTCTACAGAAAAAACGCAAGGGAGCATCTTGACGTATTAGTATATAAAGAAGTTTAAATAACTTAACAAGGATCAATTGAAACACGCGACTAATAATAATTGCTAGCAATAAAACCAGACAAGAGATACCGTTTTAAAAACTTTATTAAAAAAAACAATGACAGAAAGAGTCAAATGCACAGCGATTTAAAAGGAAAAGGAATGAAAATTAATCCTTTGACTCACTATTACAAATCCGTTTTTTCCATTCTATTTTGAGGAATAATAAATAATCCTTCCGTGTCAAGAGTTCGACTTTCTTTGCTTCTTGCGCTTTGTCTTGTTCTTTGTAGTCGGTCTTTTAGCTTTTGCTTTAAAAGAGGCTTCATTTCTCCGTGATCTTGACAGTTCGTACACCGTTTCTTGTGTCTGTTCTGGATTGCGATAGTGATTTTTTCCGGAGTTATCCGCTTCACCTTCGTAAACGATGACCTTAACTTTAGGTTGCAGTTTCGCATCTTGTAAATACGGTCTTCGCTGTATGTGGTGTAACTGATGAACATCCGCGAAATGGTTAGCTGATCTGACAAGGTACTTCGCCCCACACGATGAAATCGGACAGTTTCTGCAAACTCTCTTGGAAATCATGTTGACAGTTCGATGACTGAACACAAATGACATCTTTTTCGCAAATAGTCAGGTTATATAGAGTGTCAGAAAGGCTAAATACAGACCAGAAAGGCCATAACCAGGCCTGAAAGGCCAAAACCAGGCCAAAAGTGACAAAAGGAGACAGACGGGCCATTTTCAGTCGTGTGTCTTTGTTTTTATTTTCTCATACACATGCGTCGGTGTCTCGTGTCGTTGGTCACGCAATAGGGACTTTAAGATCCGAGACGCGACGGCTGTAGGACGCGACCGGAAGTAAATTTTCAAAGAGGAGAAATGCTGCGCATGCTCACGCCTTCGTCCTGGTGTCACCACGTCGCGTTGAGAACGTGGGTTTTGCGAGTTTGACGTTCTGTACAAAACGTGAGTATATTTGTTCCTGTGCTTAAATTAAATGATGATATATTCCTCTAAACATGTAAAATCAGCACTCTACGATCATTGGACGTAATTTCTGGCGACATTTTAGATCGCAGAGGTGGAAGGATTTTGATTATTTTTAAATTTCTTTCAGGTGTACGAAGCTTATAAAATGGCAGCGCCTTCGACTTCGAGCAAGGCTTGCAAGGATGCAAGTAAGTCACGAGCTAAAACTGCAAATAGTGAATGCAGGAGTTTTCTGCATACTCTTCTCGTCTCTTGTACCGTAGCAATTCTCGATTTATTGCGTTCATCTGCCGCTAAAAGCCAATTTTATGTTTGTTTTATTTAATTTAATTTCATTAAACTGTGTGTGTTTTTATGCTTCCATTTAGTTCAGTAATGTTTTGGACACATGATCATGAAACCATTCTATGCAGAGAAGTCGTCAATGTAAATCCCTACACAACTAAGAAAGGGTCAACACAAAGAAGCAGTATGTGAGAAAAAATAGCAGACACCTTGAACAAATGCACTGTGCCGAAATTCAGGGTTGATAAGCGATCAGTCCGAGACCACGTGCGAATCCTTGTTTACAAGCATAAGAAGAAACTTCTAGCGGAGGAAAAAGCAACTGGGTTAACTCCCGACGAGCCAACGGAACTAGAAAACCTATTGGATATGATCATCGTGTTGGAGGAAAATGGCGAAGCGGAATTACAGGAAACACAGGGAACAGCTAGAAAAAAACTTCAATACGATCGGGCTAAAGCGGAAGATGTTAGACTAAAAGCGATGGAGAAGCTATCAGAGACGAAGAAAAGAGGTTCACCAGCGGATGAAAGCGATGACAAACCGAAGCGTCAACAAAGAAGTGGAGGGATGCTATCGAATACTTAGCTGAAAGAGCTAAAGTAAGTGATCAACTGAAAGAGGAAGACCTAAAGATGAAGAGAGATCAGCAAACTCTCGAGAGAGGAAAAGTGGAGGTTTTGAGTAAACATCAAATTCAAATGCAACATCAACAAGCAGATATGCTAAAACTTATGCAGCAGCAACAGCAAGAAAGCCAAAAGCAGTTACTCAACTCTCAAATGATGATGATGTAGCAGCAACAGCAGCAGTCAAAGGCTTTGATGGTGTTATTGGAAAAAATAATAAATAAGTAGTTATTCAGTGTCTACAAAGAAACACTTTCATATTCAATTGTTGTTGTGT